TCTGATTCAGAACTTTATATTTACTATTCAGTTTGGCTCAGTCACTTTATGTCCTATTAGTAAAGAGTTGTTTGCATTTGTACGTTTTGATATGATAACAGTTAACTTTTTCTTACAGGACCGGCTGAGAAGGCCATAGCTGAAACATCAACAAGTACACTTACATTTTCATTGGAAATTCCATCAGAAACATTTGTGTAAGTATATTTGACTTTTTCATGCAGATAAATAATTAACAAAACGCTCTATACAGCGTCGCTGGGGCTATACAAATGAAAACTAAATTTTGTTACCATTGTGCCCCAATAGCAATGCACCCCACTTTATTATTTTAATGTCTCATACAAGTGAATTTTGCTTGTCAAGGGGAGAGTATTGCCGCTCTCAAATTTGCTATAGGTTTGTATTGCAGATATAGGTGGCTCAGTTTTGAAGTTTTTGTTAGTATTATATGACCCTATGCACTTCAGGATTTTATAGTAACTTATTCATATTTGTAACTCATTGTCATACTATATTCATTTACTCTGAAGATGTCTTAAGTTAAAGACGAAACGTTACTACTTCTTAAATAAATTTTATGTCTATATTCTTCTCTATATGGCTCGTTTGCGGCGTACGTTATGCTGGGCGTTAATCTTTATATTACGATCATATTTCACACTACAGTTTTCACGTTTCCACAGCTAACTATTATAGGGACGTTGTTAGATAAATTTTATATTGATATGACACCAATATATGCTTCCCATAAAGTAGTTACCTATTAAAACTACGCTGTGTAGTTTAAGTTATAACCTTTTACCTTGCGATTATCTTTGGCTCGCTTATATTCAGATTCAGTATATTATGATCGTGCACGGGAATTCAAAGATCCAAATTTCTGATCTTCAGAGTTGTGCACCAAGAAAAATGCATTAACTAAGCTAGTAAGAATGTATTATGGCATAATCCATAGAAAACAGGTTTAATTCGTTGAAAATTTTAACGAAATTGTTTGAAACATTTTGCCCACTCCACGAAAGGCCGCCATTTTGAAAAGGATAAATTGGATTTTATTAGGCAGCTCATTAATATTCTATTTTGTGACTATCGACGATTGGAGATATACTCGCCTGGGCACAGTGCCCCAGCGAGTAATAATTATTATATATTATTTGGTTTATATGAAGAAGGCACATTTTGATTTATAGATATTTCTACGTGGTGGCTTTGAAATTAAAAGACGGCAAAGAGCCTGCATCATCTGACAGTTACGAGAACAAGGAGTTAGTGACGTATGCTGAGGCGGAAAAATCGACCAATCCGAACCTTATATTGCCGCGGTAGTTACATCCAGCGGTGTTGACGGAAACATGTTTGTACTTGGTGATGGCAGAAATACAGATGATCCAACTTCACGAAAACGGAGGTCAACTACAAGTGATTATTTTAATGGTCCGTTGGAGCCTGGCACTAATTATAGTGTTTTTCAAAGGATTATTATCAATGAAATGGTATGATATTGGGGTGGGGTGTGGGACAGCAAACTTTCATTTGAAGCGCACTGATCTCAAAACCGGGCTGGTTTACGGAGCCAATGGCGGCCATATTGCCATAGATATTGAGTGGGCATTTCAGGAAAAAGTTCAGGCAAACGAAAGGGAAAATTGAAGCTTGCTCATGGGGGCAAATGTGTGTTTACACTTACGGTTTCTGCTGCGATTTTAAGTGCAATTTTTTTCCTTCTGATTGATCGGAACGAGCAAGGGAGTTGAGAATGTTCCGAATATCTGAATGTTCATAACTCATTCATCGCACCTAAAATAGCAGAAACGATGTAAATGTAAACGCATTTTATAGCAATGTGTATTTGGCTTGACAGATCAATAAATTAATAATTTCTCGTCTTCTTTACTATAGGGTGATTATTATTCCACTGACTGGAGTCCTCCATCAAAAACGAGTGAAGGTACAGGTATATTTCTTCCATATAATTTTAAATTGATATTGATCATTGGGTTAGATAAGTAAGTTTAGTCATGATAAAATCAATAAAAATGAATAAAAACAGATTGGAGTATGAATTTACAGTAACAGTATTTTATCATATTGCTTTTCCAACTTTATTTAATATCAGGCATGTTGTAAATTATTTAATACAGGGTGATTTCTTTAATCGTATCTCAAACTCAATAATAATTCATGAGCCAGCCATAGTACTTTATTTTGCTCACATGATAATACTAGCCAGATACGTGGTGAAGTATTAGTTTCATATTAATCTGACACTGCAATCGAGCAACGAAAAATTCGTTGGCTCGAGCGGGATTTGAACTCGCATCTAGACCGCCGCTCTACCTATTGAGCTATCGAGTCAACAGGGATTGGTAACGAGTCTTATAGTCCAATTTAAGTGCACGAAATATTTTCGTGACGACTTAACGCTTGTCTTAGAGGACGCGCAGTGTTTCAATTCTATTTCAGAACCATCCTCAGAGATACGAAAAACTAGTTTCATATTAATCTACCAATCCCTGTTGACTCGATAGCTCAATAGGTATAGAGCGGCGGTCTAGATAGCCGAAGATGCGAGTTCAAATCCCGCTCAAGCCAACGATTTTTTCGTTGCTCGATCGCAGTGTCAGATTAATATGAAACTAGTTTTTCGTATCTCTGAGGATGGTTCTGGTGAAGTATATTGATCCAGTCCTAGGACTGGTCCGCGCAATTTCATCAAAATGCGAGGACTTGAAATCTAGTCCAGTCCGAATTGTAGGATTTCAAATACTAGGTTCTTTGTAAGTTTGCATGGCGATAAAACATATAATAGTTTTGTTTGTGGAAGCGTAAATTTATTACTACAAAGCTTTCGATCCGTAAGCCCGAATCTTCATCAGTGCTAATAATATGATATAAATAATATATAATCTTCATCATATTATTAGCACTGATGAAGATCCGTGCTTACGGATCGAAAGCTTTGCAGTAATAAATTTACGTGGCGTTTCCACAGACAAAACTATTATATTTCAAATACTACTTCAAATTTTAGGTCAAGTTCCAGGTGACGTTCCAGACACGGACGACAATGATGATTGTTCAAAAAAGTATCTTGTTGGAATGATAGTAGCAATATTGGTGGCTAATTTAGGTGTTATTATCGCTTTATATTTTATCTGTCAAAATCGTCGACTCAAATCATCAAGCACCGAAGTAAATGTGGAGAAGACAAATGACGTAAGTAATTCACAATATATTTAAGATGATATTATGAACAAGTAGGCGATGAACAGTCGATGTATACAGCTCTCAGTAAGCCTGGAGAAGTAATTGATGATCATTTATATGCTCATTCAAATGAGGTAACAGAAAATATGTGCGCAGATCAGAAGGAAACTGGATTCTAATGTCTTATCAATGCATAGCAATCTCGTTCCCCGAGCCTGCGATCCTCGGGAAGGAATCGAAGGCTCTGGGATAATCCGTTACCGGAAGCCAAGAATCCTGGCTAAGATTTAACTACGCATTCAATTTCAATGGCCAATCAGATTCCTCCCTGAAACGGATTATCCCAGAGCCTCGCGTTCCTTCCCGAGGATCGCAGGCTCGGGGAACGAGATTGAATGCGTAGTTAATCAAGATATGATCTGCCGTAAATTTCAAAGTGTCTACAATGAACTAGGATTTTATGTTGGAAACACAGCTTCACTATGAATAAATCTTCTCAACTTTTGCTTGTTAATATTTCCACTGTACGTTTGAGTGTGCCATTGGATGATTGCTTCACTGTTATGCAAAAACTCGATGTCTCGACCGTGCACAAATTTATATAGAAATAAAAAATGAAACAAATTTAAAACTCTCTCCAGATCATATCTTCATTCGCTATGGTTTAGACAAAAACTTGTTCTTCGTTGTCTGATTTTGCTCAGCAATTCCGTGCGATGAAATGTAGATGAATCAATTTTGTGATAATATTACAATAATGAAACAGACCTAATTGATCTAATAACTAATTGATGTATTCTAATTAAGGACTTGAAATTAATTAGCTAAGGACCGTGCGTAATAATTAAGCGGACGTAATTGATACTAATAACTAATAGATATATTCTAATTAAGGATTTGGAATTAATTAGCCAAGGACCGCGTGTGTAATAACTAAGATGTAATTGATACTAATAACTAATCGATATATTATAATTAAGGATTTGGAAGTAATTAGCCAAGGACCGTGCGTAATAATTAAGCAGGTGTAATTGATACTGATTACTAATTTCAACTAATTACAGTATTCTAATAACGCATTGAGTCTGAGAAAGTTGATGATCAATCCATGTGTATGTACTTAATGTGTAATGTTACTAATGGAGTGAGTATGTAATGTTAAATGTTTCCTTTCAGATATAGCACTTTCACATCTACTTGGCAAAACCCATCCATATGAAAGTTATCGTAATCAATGTCTCGGCAACTTTGATCAAATGCGCACGCTCAGATATCTTGCCATGTATAAATTACCATTATCACGATCTGATCCATTTGAAATTGAAAGTGTCTCACAGTAGAACTCGACAAACTTCTAGGAGCCAAACTGTCCTTAACTAAGTTTGTTTGAGATCAAATCCAAGCAAGGCTTCGGCGATGGCAGTTGTTAAAGATAATAATTGAAAAGGTCTGTGTTTTACAATTACTTCAGCGTACGGTAATGAATCCGTTATGAAGAAATTTTCAAACGGAACATATGATGCTGTGAATCGTTACAAATCGAATCGTGAGAAAAATTATATCAGATATACAAGCTGCTTCATGGTCAAGATTTCCTTTGTGTTTTCCTCATGAATTATCATGAGAATTACAAATACCATGTAGCTAGTAACAGTGTGGATGTTTATAAATTTGTGTGGCAATGTACGAGATATATTTTCATTTAAAATTTATATCACTTTCCGTCCAAACTGAACGAAAATTTAATTGATATCCTTGGCCTATGGCTACGGCCATTAGCCACACAAATGATAAAATTACAAATTAGCCATATTATCAGTTCGGGAGAAAATGGTTCAACTCACCACAGTCGCAGAACATCGAGTTTTCATTGTTATAATGCTGCGTATTATATAAATCTCTCTTACAAACATTCTTTTAAACGGTTTCGTTCAATGCATAAAATGTACTCATGTCAAGCTTTTATGCACCTGTGGCTTCAGCAGATTGCTGAGGCATTGAGTCTAACAATATACGTTATTTCAATAGTTTTGGGATTTTTTTGGGACACTCTGTTTTTTGCGCTTCCATGATGGGTTAAGCATATAATGCTCAGACATTCAAATTATTACAAAAGAAAAATTTCAAAAGGTATACTTTTTTTCGGGACACCGGCCTGTACAAATGATAAGTAGCACTTAGATAATCAGCCAATGAAATAACGAGAACTTATAAACTATATAAAGAGCTAGTGTACTGGAAATGTTAATTTGATCTTGTTTCGCGAGACTTCTTTTCGTCATTTCCGCATTCATATAACATAAATGCTAGCATCTTCTTGTCCCAAACAGTTTGAAGTCGGTTTCGTCGATTAAAGAAGATGTTTCCAAAGTGTTTTTATTTTGTGATGTTGGTTGTCGTTTCCCTACAGTTGAAAGGTAAGCGTTTCATGGTTTACAAAGTTAATAAAATAATTCATTTGCCATGGCAAACGTATATACTGACTTTCGATGCACCGATATCGGCCTATCTGTACTAAAATGAATTGAATTGAATTGAATTTATTACAAAATCTGAATGGCAGCTAAGAGCTGAATTGTACAGAGTTGACATTTAAAATACATGGTAAAACTAATACATATAGTAATATACGGTATTAAAACTAAAATTTATATTACAATTAAAATGAATCATTATATGATACGATACTAGAAGGAATAAAACTTTTACTAAATCTTGTAGTCTTACAATTAATTAAGTTAATATGCTGATCGTTACGTAGATTGTAAGTACGTAAGTCCTCGCGTTTATTAGGGATAAGTTCATTCAATTTATTTTCCGGGTTGAGAAGTTTCTTAAAATAGGATTTACATAAATTATTTCGTCTTTGAGAGAGCAACGATAATTCATGAACTTCCAAGGCTTTGCGGTATGACAGGTCAGGACATATTATTCGTAGGGCTCGCTTCTGAATTCTTTCGATTTCTTCCTAGATAGATAAAATAGAAATATCGGTATCGGTAATTTTGTTGTTGATATTACCGATATTATACAAACTGTTAGTAAGTATTAATGATTGGTTATAGTTGCAGTTCAATAGTTATTTTTATTACAAATAAACAGTCACTGGCATGGTAATACACTATAGTTTGTTCCATTCATTTGGCAGTATTTCATTTGATATTTTCAGTATTTTTTTAAATACTAATACAAATGAATCGTGAATTCAATTCAAAAGTATTAAAGTAGAACTGTCATGATGTCATCTCTGAATATATATATATAGAATATCGGTATCGGCAAAATATCGGCCCTTCAATGTCGGTGCATCACTAACTGACTTACTGGGAAACCACAACAGATATTGCCAATTGCTGTAGCCACAGAAATAATCTACAAAGTACAGTTATTACACACACAATAAACATTACTTGGACAATAGTCATCACAGAAAGTCTACAAACAACACGCCAAAGCCAGGGAGTTCGTCACATTGCGAGTGCAATTGCATTTAATCCATGTATACGGGGATCCTCAACGTATATATTTTCTAATGATAGAATGTATTAATGGAAAGTAGTTTCTTGAGTTCTGTAAATGTTTCGTTTTTGAATATAATGTAATGAGGTAGTGTACTCCATATCAGTCTTGTTGCTCGGATTGTGTATGATTTTGATAGGCTCGGACATGTTAAATGCTGGTATATTCTATATTTGTATACGAGTTGGGATCAGCTGATCTTGTCTTTGTAGTAGAAGAGTTACAAGATTTTTTCTCAATAATAAATATACCGGTGATTTACCGTATAGAAAAATATCATGACCAGATATATTCGTGCCAGTTAGGGACACGCGCATGGCCGAGAGCCCGAGACACGCCGGACGTGATTCGACATTGCGGTGCGATTTTTCGACCTCCACTGACCGATAACTTTGAACCTGATTTGATTTGACAAATCTTAAGAAGCGTTATAACAGTTTGAGTTATTTAATGGTCTACATATCTTTTAAAATTTTCTTTCATTGGTTGTTTTATTAACCTTCAAAAACTGAACAATCGTGCCGCGTTGTCGAACCGCGTCCGGTGTGTGTAGGCCATTATCCCGGAATTTCTTTTAGAAAACAGGGTTTTTTTTTAAACCAGGGATAATAAGGAGACGTTCCGGTATGACGTCGTCGTGCCAACGGAAATTCCGTAATTAGCATATGCGTCATCCGCCCACATTATGGCGTCATACTTGTGTAGCTACTAGGGAGTTTACGCATGTAAGACGGCGACGTCAGGACGACGGCTATCAATACAATGACATTAATCCTATAGTACAAAAGAAATGAATAATTAAACGTCTAGCAGGAGTTTTAGACGTCGTCCAAACTCTGTTGACAACGGCAAAATGAATATTTCCATGTCTTGTATAGAACGCTAGAAGTTCACGCCGTGACAGGTAGTTTTTCTGTGGAGTTGAACAAAATTGCTTTTAAGGTTAAAGCTCTGTTTTACCCTTTCGAAACTATTTTAATTTTGTACGAAAAAAATACAAGACAAAATTTCCATAGAATTATTTATTTCGAACAGTTTTTTTAGCCGTCGTCCAGACGTCGCCGTCTTACATTTGGAAACTCCCTATTAAGCCAGGCCGAACGCAATTCGGCAACGCACGCGAAAAATTAAATAAAAAAAGTCGGCAAATAAAACCAAAACTGTCTGTACCAGTGTAGCAAGTGTAGGTATAGTACCAATATTCCAATAAGAAAGTTTTGGATTGATAAGGATGCTACCTGAAAAAATACAAGTAAAACCTTCGATGTTTTGAGGGAAGACCCTTCGTCGGCTACTAACGTCCCGACGGCCCCGTCGCTCGAAACGTCGAACTGTTCTCGTTGTAATTTTTCAGGTTGCTGTATCCCTATCAATCCGAAGCATTCTCGGGATTAAACTTATCTTTCAGTGAAAATCGAAAAATCACACCCTGTTGTTGAATCACGTTCGGTTTCAGTTGTAGAAACTGCCGCATTTCGATTCTGACATTCGCATACAAATGCATGCTATAATTAGAGAACTATAACTCCTCACTTTATCTAGTACTTAAAACTATATATAGCTAGCCTTTGTCTTTATTTAACTACGTTATATATATTACACGCCTCTGCGGAAGAGTGCCGGAGTTATTATTAGCAATAATAAAAGTATGACACATTTGCCATTTGGCTATCATATATCGACCTTCCGATCTAAATCTATATGGGAACATAATTCGAATGTTTCTTATTATTATTGAGTATTGCTTTTTTTATGGGGTATATAGTCGTATCCCAATCACGCTAAACCATCCATGGTTTATAGAAGTTTCATTACATTAATCAGAGTATGTGCATGACTGTGGAAACGTCTCCCTCCCAAAGACTTAAAGCTGTTTTAATACAAAAGACAAGTACTGAATTTCATCAGAAAGGGAATTCCCCTTAATTAAATATGATAAGATGTATAATCAATCAACCGGTCAAACATGATGTGACCTTGCTTTGGTAAATAGTAGCAGTAGCAATAGCAAATTTTCGTAAATAGCACAGTCAAACAAAGGCATGAACCAAATATTAATTAAGTTTCTTTTATTACTTTTTAAGAATCAACCTTTTGTTTTTCAATATCTGCGGGCCACTGCGGCATGCAACTATGCTCTATATAGTTACGAAGAGGATCATTGGCAATGCGTGAATGGAAATCTCATGTCAGCACATGTGCTTCTATAAGTGCTTCCCTCGTGTCACACTTTATATGCCCACCGTGATATCCCCGATGAGTTATGTCTTATGACATTCAACAATTCATATTCCACAATTGATTTTATCTACCCAACCTATAGTTTTACCCTTTTATTATAACAAAACGGATCGAACATGTTCATTGTCACGATACGCGATATAATTTATCGGTACGGTCGGCAATGGAGAAATTAAGAATGCGAGAAATTTTTAAAAAATTTGTCGAGTCATGCATTTGGGGGTCAATGCGTGGGTTTCAGTGCGTACAGGAAACTTATGTTCAAGTGCTCACATGCAGTGCGGTATGCACATATAACATGGATTTCATCACACACTTAAACCTGCGCGTGGCTGATTTAGTTTCTTTTTTTTTTAATTGTTTTCCCATGTGACTGACAACTTTTCAAATAAGACTTATACTGTTATTTGGTCATTTAGATGTAGTTTTATATGGCTAACCCTGCTTTTGACGTCACTAAAATCACCGTGATGAGATAAAAATTTATCCAAGCGAGAATATTTCAAAAACTAAGCAAGATGCAAATAAACGGTAAAGGAGATTTGCATATGATTTTAAAAGTTCTTTCAAATGAAATAAA